GAGGATGGTGCTTTGGAAGAGAAAAAGAAAAACATTGGAGATCTCACTCCACTCGTCTCAACTGGAATTTTACACAAAACTTAAACCTAAGTCTCAGAATTCACCAAGCCAGTGATGAGGGCCAAGGGACTGGTGTGGTCCTTGATTGGTCTGAACTTGTCACATTTGGACAGGTCTCTGTTTAGGGCGACTTCAGTGTCGATGTCTTCTCTGGTTTTCACGACGTAGTCAGTCTTACACAGGCCGTAGATGGTGGGCTGGAATGAAAACAGTCTCAATGTCAGAGGTAGATTTGGCGTGACCATCTTTCTCTTTCAAGAGTGAAGTTTATCAACAGACCATCTCTTTGTTCCTGTCCTCCTCAAGCACAGGGACAGCAAGAGCAGAGATGATTCCCCTCTTTATGTTGAGGATGTTTATTAGCTCATCCTCCTCAGGGAAAAGCTTGATTTCATCATCTCCCTCAACGGTGAACTTCAGAGGATGTCTGAACAAAGAGAGAAGAGTTTGTTGAATATAACAGATATATGTCTTTCTTGCAGATTCATAATTGGCATGGACAGATTTTATATGCGTGACAGCAAAGACAACACTTAAGGTTTGTTCACACCAAGGACGATAACTATAACTATACGTTTTAACAAATGTTCTAATCTGACGAACGTAGGGTTGGGAATCGATTCCACAAAGAATCAATTCCGAGGCCTTGGGAATCGAGAATCATCTCCAAAGGTTGGAATCAATTCCATCAAAGGGATTTGACTCCTCTTTAATACCCTTTTTAGTTCTCTAAATTGCCACTTGGTTGCTTGTTAATAGTCTTGGGAAGTCTGATTCACCTCCATGAACCGGTTGACAGTTCGTTTAATGAATCGGTTAAGAGAAACTGTTGCAGCGTTTTGCCCATACATCTTGGACAAGTTTCCTATCATGAAGTTTTGCACCTAAAACATACAATACAGACATTTGATGCACAAAAGCGGATTTCCAGGTGTCTAAAGAATATAAAAATTAATTTATTTAACTTATTATTTAGTTTAAAATGGCTTGTTCTGTTCTCTACAATGAAAGGTTTTGAGCG